CCAAAAAGGTTAAAATAACAAAATGAAAACCACATCACTATTTAGTTATATAAAAATGTTAGCAAAACACAGGCAGGTCATGTAGCGTCGTCGCGTGACTTTGAGAGGCCCCCCCCCCTTTTTTTTCCCCCCTTTTTGGTTTTGTTCTCCCCCACTTTGCACTGAATGATGATAAGTAAGAAAATATCCACATCACATCCTTAAGTCCCTAACATGTCCGAGGCAAACAGCAGTCGTAGGAGTTGCTTGGCTCACGCGATGTTTCTACGGTTAAGTCACACCTACATTTTATTAAAAATAGCATCTCTTCCGTTGCTCTCCAAGTGTAGAATGCTGCAAAAATAAATTAAGTTATTTAATAAAATACATTCTTGTATTTTCAATCTATCAAAAATGTTCCTGGGGCTAAAAAGATTTAATAGGCGATAATAAGCAAATGAAAATAAATTCCCTCAAGGGCTACACATTGGAATGAATTTAGTTCATGTTCCCCTTCTGCGACGTTAAAGATTTTTTTGATCATTATTATGGCTAATTTTGGCGCTTCCCACACGAAAGTTTGAAATGTCACCTCAAAACGCTGCATTTTGAATTTGTGCGACCATCTTCAGCACCCTAAATTTCTGCACATGAGGGTCAAATATTTATGCCGCTCCCCCTTTCACGATACAAACTCTGCTGTTGCCCAAAACATTGATTTGGTGAATTACATTCCAATGTTTATACCACCGACTCACGGAACGCTACAGTGCTAACGTCTTGTTCTGAGTCTTCTCTCATTTATCAACATTAGGAGGCAAACGCTTGATAAACCAATTAATAAGTGAAATGAAGTTATGACTCTGAAAGGAACGATTTATTGTGACGTAACTTCCTTAAGGTCATCTCATAATAATAAAGTAAATTATTAATTCAAAAAGTGTCAAAAAAATTTGTTAGTATCCATTTCTAAATTAAGGTGAATCAATAAAAATTAATTAAATATGTATTCTAGCTTGGAAAAAATGTTAAATTCTAACAAGTGAATGGAATAAAATAAACCCAACGCTACACAAGGGATATTATTGAATTTGGATTGTGTTACACTTTACACGTCTCAACCAAGATTTAATAGTGAGGCAATGAATGATAACAACCACATATTAGAAGAATAAGATTTCGAAGAACAGTTTAACTGCTCTGTTCTTTGTATGGTTTAAAAAAGATGTATTTTAAAGAACGAAAAATCCGATTGAATTGTCTCATTTAAAAAGGAGACAAGTTCTTGCACAGAAATCAGGATAATTATACCAGTGATGTCCCTTAAAATCTCTCCCCCCACCAACCCTCCTCCTTACATATCTCCGACAGAACTAATTTTATACAGCCCCATGTCATTACAAAATAGTTTAAAGTTATCAAAGTCAGTTTGAAATTAAAGAATATCAACACTTTCCTGTCTAAAATGAAATTTAATCTTTCAAAACAAACGCATCACTTAGTAACAATAGAATGCTTTAAAGATAAAAAAACCAACAACAGCACATTTATCACACACTTTATCATTGGGATATAATAAATATGCAAATTAAAAAAAAATGATGAAAAAGTTTGAAAGATATTGATCTAAACTGATGCTGATTAATATCATGATATCTTTTTTAGTCGCATGTGGCCAGGTGTGCTGATGTCATGAGACCTGCCAAAAGGGACGGAAAATTTTTAAAACAGAACTACTTTCTTATCCAACCCATTATTTGCCAGGAGAGCAGGGCTTAACTACAAAAGAAATATTTACATTATTTCACACCATAAAATGTGAGGTTGATGAGAAATAATTGATATATGCACTAGAATGACTGGTTGCTATAACGCTACTACGACGTGACTCTTGCATGAGTGTTATGATTGTGTCACGATATAAAGTACAAATCATATGTCAGCTTGATCAAATGTCAGACACTATGGATCTGTTGGTGAACAACAGCCAGCTACAATAACAAGAAACTAAATAAAGTCACTGTAACTTAAATATAACCCAAGTATGTGAAGTAATTGCAGAAAATTTCAGGGGCGTAGAACACCCAGGAAAGTTGATGTCCTTGCGTCCTCCTCATCAAGTGAGTATTTGAAGAAAATGCAAAACTATAATAATAAAATACTAAATTTTATGACTTGAAAAATATCTCAATTTCCGTGTATGTCTTTACTTTTTATAATTATTAAAAAAAATATATTTCTCTGTATATATATCTCTGTATATATATCTCTGTATATATCTTATTGTCCGTTAAGATTTGCATCTTATTTTTAACATTAACAATTCATAAATTCTTTCACTTCCTGTAATCTTTGTTTTGACAAATCCAACTTCTGGCAATAACAAATGGCGATCACTTAATTTTTTAAAACTTGTTTCTATTTCTTGTCTTATTTTCATTTTTCCTGTCTGCCTAGGAGGGCCCTTAGTCGATACGTTCTTGTCTTCTTCTCCTGCTTGTTAATTCAAGCGGTTAGGCACCTTATTCTTCTATTTTCATGCACACAGCATGAACGCCGCCCTTCATTTATGATCCTAAAGAATAGTGGCACACCAGAAACAACATTGTCCATCTAACACGAGACAAAGAAGCCATCCAGGGGGAGACAATATTACGTCTATTGTGATCAAAGGGTTCCGCATGAAGTAGAAACTGAAAGCAACTAATGCAGGGTTCTTCAGGAACGCCATGTAAACAAAATATCAAAACAAATATTGTTGGCATTTGAAATATACAAAGTGGAAATAATCTGTAAAAGTTTAAATTGACACACTATTATTATAAAGTACCGATTCGATACACTTCATAAACTGGTAGATTGATACGAAAGCAAGGCAGAGTGTTGTCAATGTTTAGCTGCGTGCAATGCGACCATTAAAGGAATAGAAGTATTATACTGACTGAGATATAATACATGGGTACGTCATTGAGACGATTATAAACGTGTCGCCGTCACCGCACGACCGTACAACAGTTCAACAAGTTAAACACAAGCAAAGTTAACGGGATGGTCTTATAACAGTTCAACAAGTTAAACACAACCAAAGTTACCTGGATGCTCTTATAACAGTTCAACTTGTAAAACACAAGGATAGTTAACCGGATGCTCTCATAACAGTTCAAGTAGTAAAACACAAGGATAGTTAACTGGATGCTCTCATAACAGTTCAACTAGTAAAACACAAGGATAGTTAACTGGATGCTCTCATAACAGTTTAACAAGTAAAACACAAGGATAGTTAACTGGATGGTCTTATAACAGTTTAACAAGTAAAACACAAGGATAGTTAACTGGATGGTCTTATAACAGTTTAACAAGTAAAACACAAGGATAGTTAACTGGATGATCTCATAACGGTTTAACAAGTAAAACACAAGGATAGTTAACTGGATGATCTCATAACGGTTTAACAAGTAAAACACAAGGATAGTTAACTGGATGATCTCATAACAGTTTAACAAGTAAAACACAAGGATAGTTAACTGGATGATCTCATAACAGTTTAACAAGTAAAACACAAGGATGGTTAACTGGATGCTCTATCTAAATAAAGAAAAACAAATCATTTCATTTTCCCTTAAATGCCTCTATTGAACGTTACTTGACAATCTCGTATTTCACGTTTTCTACTGCAATCCATTTTCGTGTATTAATATTGTAAGAAATCAAAATATCATCCATCATCAACAAAACCTCAAGCTTCCTTTCTATGACTTTGGTTAAGATCAATTTTTTTGTCCTCAGCTGTCATGTTTATGCCACTGTATCAGACAGGAAATAAAATGACACGTCAAAAAGCACGGGTCGCATGTCACAAAAGACACCATGTGATAATTCCATCGGCTGCTAGCATTTCTTTGTTAAAAGCTCAACTTTAAAATTAAATGGGTATCAATGACCTTGACATTTTAACTTGACCCGTGTCTTTGTGTAGAGAGTAGTTGAGATGCGACAACGATGACGTCAACAGACGCTGCAAGGATCGATAAGATTAATGTAAAATTGATTGCAGAGTACGGACAAGCAAATGGAAGAGGTGGCAGTTTTAAACGCTACACACTTGTGAAGTTAAACCGCACATATAGGTACGGATGTTATTAAAACTACAGAAAGTAATCATTCTGAAACAATATCTAATAACTAGTCATCCTCCATCCGGTGCCCAGCTACCTCATGGCGCTCTCTTGTAATGGGAAATGATGTGTTTGCTTGCACCAATTAGATATTGAAGAGAGTCATTTTTAAATCTGAAGATATAATTTATATGCACTTTTAAGACGTCCCATCCAATAAGTCTAAAGGCTGATTCGTAGAAAGGTATATTTTGGTCTAACCCACTTCTTTATTCCCCTCACCAATTTAAACCCTAAAATACACTCATACGATTAGGGAAAAATGTTTTTCTCTTCTACCCTTCAATCTTCTCCCTCTTCCCGGTAAATTAATATGGTATTGCTACTGTCTCTGTTCTCCGGAAATGACACATTGACCTACATGTATCTCACAAAAACATAAAATAAATCCTTCATGACTAAATTGTCATTTTGAATTTGAGATTAATGACATTGTATCTTTCATGACAGATAAATAAAGTGTCCATGTTAAAACATGAGAGATGTCGCGGAGAGTTTTATTTTACAGACCTCATAACTCGATCTTCTGAACATTTTAGCAAACAAGAGACATGACAATTTGAGCAATATTTTCTCTTATTTGGAACTCACAGATCGTATTTGGAGTGTGAATCGTAACTTATCACATCGAAACACTTTGCTAAACTTTATCCTTTTATTTTATACGTTAAACAGATTTAGGCATTGTAAATTGAAATGGAAGCACCAAGGGACGCTGAAGGACAAATGATGACGGAAATGTACGTCTACACCAAGGGCGACATCTCGGTTGAACTGACCAGGCTGATGGAGGTCATACTGGCCAACGTCTTAGCCCCCATCATCATCATTTGTGGAGTGCTCGGCAACGGTCTTAACATCGGCGTGTTCGCCCGTATGGGTCTGAACGAGAGCGTCAACATCTCGCTCTTCATGCTCAGCATATCAGACTTCGCGTTCACCTTCTGCAACCTCAACACCATCATTATGCTTAAGCTTTCGTCATCCGGAGGGCTGTATTACGTCGACCCACTGTCCTTGGTGCTCCTGATGGTTCCTTTCAACAGGCTGTTCTTTGACCTGTCGAACATGGTCACGTGTTTTATCGCTGTCGCGCGCTGCTGCTGCGTCGCAATGCCGCTGACATTCAGGCTCACATTTACAAAAACGAAATCTTTCGCCATTATCGGGGTTATCTACCTTGGTTTTATATCAGAGTACATGCCCTTGTTTTTAACCCAGACTTTAGGCCAGAGTTATAATTCTCGGAGCAATATAACCCAGCTGGTTATCAGATTTGCACCTGACCGGGACGCGTTGGTTAAAATAATAACCGACAGTATCAATAGAAACGCAATTCTCATTATCACTTTCGTTGTGTCTCTCGTCTGTCTCATCATCATCACCAACAGCTTACGGCAGTCTTCGAAATTCAGGCTATCTCTGAGGTCAACTCAAGTGATTGACGCCAAGAACGATAGAAAGCAAGGTCGGAAAACCCGAGGGGACAAATCGAGTCTCACAGCTTCTGATTTGCAGGTAGTCAAAGGCGTATCTCTGGTTCTGTTAAAATCGGTTACCTGCAACCTGCCCCTGATTTGTATTGCCTACAGCAGGCTGGCCTTGCCCGAGCTCAGTGTTGGGAAGGCGCTGAACAACTTGTACTTTCTTGTGGGAAACATCAGCAGCTTTGTGATAGCGTTGAATACATCAATCAACTGCGTTGTGTACTACAACTTCAACACTCGTTACAGGCAGACGGTCAAGTCTTTTTTTATGCGGTTTCGTAATGCTCAGACGACCAGGACTGAAACTATTGCCAAGTAATGTTCAGACCGGGAATGAAACTATTGCCAAGAAATGTTCAGACCAAGAATGAATCTATTGCCAAGTAATACTCATACCTGGAATGAAACTATTGCCAAGTAATATTCAGACCAAGAATGAAACTATTGCCAAGTAATATTCATACCTGGAATGAAACTATTGCCAAGTAATATTCATACCTGGAATGAAACTATTGCCAAGTAATATTCATACCTGGAATGAAACTATTGCCAGGTAATATTCATACCTGGAATGAAACTATTGCCAAGTAATGTTCAGACCAAGAATTAAACTATTGCCAAGTAATATTCAGACCTGGAATGAACTATTGCCAAGTAATATTCATACCTGGAATGAAACTATTGCCAAGTAATATTCAGACCAAGAATGAAACTATTGCCAAGTAATATTCATACCTGGAATGAAACTATTGCCAAGTAATATTCAGACGAAGAATGAAACTGTTGCCAAGAAATGTTCAGACCAAGAATGAAACTATTGTTAAGTAATATTCAGACCAAGAATGAAACTATTGCCAAGTAATGTTCAGACCAAGAATGAAACTATTGCCAAGTAATATTCAGACCAAGAATGAAACTATTGCCAAGTAATGTTCAGACCAATAATGAAACTATTGCCAAGTAATATTCAGACCAAGAATGAAACTATTGCCAAGTAATGTTCAGACCAAGAATGAAACTATTGCCAAGTAATATTCATACCTGGAATGAAACTATTGCCAGGTAATATTAAGACCAAGAATGAAACTATTGCCAAGTAATATTCAGACCTGGAATGAAACTATTGCCAAGTAATATTCATACCTGGAATGAAACTATTGCCAAGTAATGTTCAGACCAAGAATGAAACTATTGCCAAGTAATATTCATAACTGGAATGAAACTATTGCCAATAATATTCAGACCAAGAATGAAACTATTGCCAAGTAATGTTCAGACCAAGAATGAAACTATTGCCAAGTAATATTCAGACCAAGAATGAAACTATTGCCAAGTAATATTCAGACCAAGAATGAAACTATTGACAAGTAATGTTCAGACCAAGAATTGAACTATGTTCAGACCAAGAATGAAACTATTGCCAAGTAATATTCAGACCAAGAATGAAACTATTGCCAAGTAATGTTCAGACCAAGAATGAAACTATTGCCAAGTAATATTCAGACCAAGAATGAAACTATTGCCACGTAATGTTCAGACCAAGAATGAAACTGTTGGCAAGTAATATTCAGACCAAGAATGAAACTATTGCCAAGTAATGTTCAGACCAAGAATGAAACTATTGCCAAGTTATATTCAGACCTGGAATGAAACTATTGCCAGGTAATATTCAGACCAAGAATGAAACTATTGCCAAGTAATATTCAGACCTGGAATGAAACTATTGCCAACGAGTCAAATTGATCTTTGCAAAATTTAAAAATAATTTTTATAAGCCAAAGACGGCTGCACAAATTCCTTTATCTTGTCTGCTGAAGAAGACTGTTAACTGAATCGTACAGTTTTTATTGTCTTGTCTTTATTTTAGATGCTTCCACATAGATTTTTCCCGTAGTCCTTGCACAAATTACTGTAGTTTTATATCACAAAATAGCTTCTAAAAAGTGATCAAACTAATAGAAAATATAATCCGTTTAGTATCATTATTGATTGAAAATTAGTTTTCTATCAACAGGTTGAAACATTTTGTCTACATGCCAAACAAACACCAACATACGTAGATCTTATTTTCATCTCTCTTATCTAACACAGTGAGAAATAAGGATTATATTCATTGCTGATAATACTTAGCGGTTCAAAAGTCTTGGCAGTCCGGTCATAAGAAGAATATGACACCACAGCAGGGTGACACGACTGACAGTATCAAAACGTGGTATTCACATCAGGACAAATACAGAACAGCAAGCCTTATGATGTTGAAATTGTGCATGATGATTTCTTTTATCCTCCAGTGATGAACTAAACATACATTTTAAAGAAAAGATTATATTTAAGATTCCTAACATGACCAAATGCCCAAATGTTTGCTATTAATGATTTGTTGCATGAGTGTGTGGTTTGCGTGAGTGTGTGGTTTGTGTGGTTTGTGTGAGTGTGTGGTTTGTGTGAGTGTGTGGTTTGTGTGGTTTGTGTGGTTTGCGTGAGTGTGTGGTTTGCGTGGTTTGTGTTAGTGTGTGGTTTGCGTGGTTTGTGTGAGTGTGTGGTTTGTGTGAGTGTGTGGTTTGTGTGTGTATGTGGTTTGTGTGAGTGTGTGGTTTGTGTGAGTGTGTGGTTTGCGTGTGTGTGTGGTTTGTGTGAGTGTGTGGTTTGTGTGAGTATGTGGTTTGCGTGTGTGTGTGGTTTGGAATGTTTGCTTTTGTTTGGTTAACGTGTTATTGGTGTCGAGATTAATTGATAATCCTTGCTTCTATATTTATTGCTGATGACGCTTTGAATACATGGCGCCGATCGACAACGTACGATTTTCAATTTGTGGCCAGCCATTTCAGCAGTTTGGCTTTCAGTCACCATCAATGTCCTGATCTGAAGTTGGTCAATGCTAATCTCGATTGCGTGACAGGACATACGTACGACGTCGTTAAACTTTCTGATACAGTTCTTGAAAATGTTTTTTTTTTTTCTTTTTTAAATCTCAAAACGGAACAAATTCAAACCTGTCAAAAACATGTTGGTAAAGTTTGTTCAGACAGTTGGCGTCATTTATTTCTAAACTCTCCAGTTGGCACAGGTGCAAAAAGCAGAAAAATCGCGATTTCTGCAGCCTCCTCATGTATGGCCACAACATTTTGGGACCGTGCGGACCGACTGCCTTTAAGCTGCGTCAAAACTTCAATCCCTCTGAGACTTCACTGTGCAATTTTCGAAACATTGGATTACAGCACCTAGACTTCGGAAGTGTAAGCTTCTTCGTTAAAATTTTCAGAGAGTTTTATTATACCGTTCCTCCGCTCTAACATCTTTGCGAAGCACGGGTATTAAATCTAGTAATTAATAAACAGCTATGTGGTTGGCATGGGGGAGGTGATCAAAGCAGATATGTCTGAAGGCATTTTTACATTTTAAAAACATTTATTTAAAACAAAAAATTTCATGTACTAAAAATTTTTTCCAAATTTATAATGACTTTGGTATTTGGAAATGTTATATAAAAAAAGATTTGCATACCTTTTAATGTAAAAAATAAGCATACAGGGTGCCCTACGGGAAGATAAGGAGAGCTTAATGTAAGGATCACACGAGTAAGAAAGAAGGCCATATTTCTTCGAAGACATATGTGAATTAGCGGTGAACTCAACTAAGAAAATTCTGCGATTAAGTTTCAAAGACACTTAGGTCATAAAGTGGTTCTAAATCTGGACAAAGAAGTTGTCAGCGATAATTGATGTACACATATTAAGTAATGCAGTGATGTATTTATACAAGTGACATCAACTATTTTCTAAAGAGCCGCTCATGTTGACAGCATTGAACACCGTGTTATCCTGAACGTCTTTGTTGTGCGTTTGGAAATTTAATAAGTTCATTACCTTTATGTTCAGATATTAACAATGAACCAATTTAGAACATCACAGATTTGCATTTCAAAAATAAAATTATCTCTATCCTTCGCAATTTAATACACTTATTTTCTTAACAGATACATTTTTTTTATAACTAATAACTATCTTTTGAAATACTATTATTTTTTAAAAAATCTTATAAAGTGTTCATAATAAATATTACTTTATTGAAAAAACACTAATTTTTAATCGAACTAAAAAAAACAACAACTTGTAACAGTCTCATAAAAAATATTTTGTTCCATAAAAAATAAACTTTGAAGAACAAATTACGTTGCTTTTTTTGTAAAAAAAAAAGGCTTTTAATGACATACTTTTCATGACATACTTTTCATGACATACTTTTCATGACATACTTTTCATGACATACTTTTCATGACATACTTTTCATGACATACTTTTCACGACATACTTTTCATGACATACTTTTCATGACATACTTTTCATGACATACTTTTCACGACATACTTTTCATGACATACTTTTCATGACATACTTTTCATGACATACTTTTCACGACTTACTTTTCATGACATACTTTTCACGACATTCTTTTTATGACATACTTTTCATGACATACTTTTCATGACATACTTTTCATGACATACTTTTCATGACATACTTTTCATGACATACTTTTCACGACTTACTTTTCATGACATACTTTTCATGACATACTTTTCATGACATACTTTTCATGACATACTTTTCATGACATACTTTTCACGACATACTTTTCATGACATACTTTTCATGACATACTTTTCATGACATACTTTTCACGACATACTTTTCATGACATACTTTTCATGACATACTTTTCATGACATACTTTTCACGACTTACTTTTCATGACATACTTTTCACGACATTCTTTTTATGACATACTTTTCATGACATACTTTTCATGACATACTTTTCATGACATACTTTTCATGACATACTTTTCATGACATACTTTTCACGACTTACTTTTCATGACATACTTTTCATGACATACTTTTCATGACATACTTTTCATGACATACTTTTCATGACATACTTTTCACGACATACTTTTCATGACATACTTTTCATGACATACTTTTCATGACATACTTTTCATGACATACTTTTCACGGAGCACATTGGTTACGTCTCTTCACTTGTATACAAGCTATGTCACACTCAATCTACCAGCTGTATCACCCACCTCTGGACACATTTTTGTCAGGTTCTCTCAGCTTCAGCTGCATCTCAGTACCGAACTCCGGAAAAAATTGAAAGGAAGGAGGAAGGGTGCTAAGTTTTTATTTTTATCAGTAACCAATCAATTTAAAAAGGCGTGAGAGATGTACATACCAACAACATTGATGTAAAAGAGTGGGGA